TGTTCTGCAGAATGCTAGTTTTAGGTTTATTGTTGGAAATTGAATGGGGCAATGAAAATGGAAAAAAAAGTTTTAAAAGAAACAAAGAAAGCAAAAATTTAAAAATAAATAAATAGACATGGAATTTATGGAAGCAAATTCTTAATATTTATAAATACGAAATGAACCTTTTACACATTAGTGGTATATAGAAGATAAATGACTGACTTCCCAATTTAAATCTTAATTCTTTTCATATCCACCTAGTTACATTTATTATGTGGTATTTCTGCATGTTTGGCTCCTCTGTCAAATCCAAACCTAGAGTGTGTATATATACACATTCAAATTTGATGCCTCTGATTCCCATATTCTGCTTATGGGGATCAACGCAAAAGTGAACTTTAGGAGAAATGAAGGAAGAAAGCAAAATTAAGAATAAACTTATTAAATAAAAAATGATGTCTCGCAGCCTTAGAAAATTTTATTTCCTATGTAGTTTGCACTTGAAATATGTATGATTATATTAAACTTTTGGAATTTCCTCCATGATATAATGTATTGAATTTTAGGGGAAATATTTCAATTTCCTACATATCTTGAAGTGTAGTCTTGAAGTGAATATGAATTTAAACATTCAATTATTCCTTCAGGTATTCATGAATCTCCATTGGAGCACTTGTGTATAGTAAGAACATAAAGAATAGAATAGAATAGAATAGAATAGAATAGAATAGAATAGAATAGAATAGAATAGAATAGAATAGAATAGAATAGAATAGAATAGAATAGAATTCTTTATTGGCCAAGTGGTTTTCTTTTTTCTTTTCAATTTCAGACATGGTAGCTTGTGTCCAATGTCCAGAAGATCAGTATGCAAACCAAGAAAGAAATGGATGTCTCCTGAAAAGGACAAACTTTCTGTCTTATGAAGAACCTCTAGGGTATAGTTTAGCTTGTCTTGCTGCTGGGTTCTCCCTCATTACAACATGGGTGCTGGGAACTTTTATTAAGCACAAGGACAGCCCTATTGTGAAAGCCAACAACCGGGATCTCACCTACACCCTCCTCATCTCCCTTCTCTTCTGCTTCCTCTGCTCTTTGCTCTTTCTTGGACAACCTGGGAGAGTGACCTGTCTCCTCAGACAGTCTGCATTTGGTCTCATCTTCTCATTGTCCATCTCTTGTGTGTTGGCCAAAACCATCCTTGTTTCTCTTGCCTTCAAGGCCACCAGGCCAGGATCTCGGATGAGGACATGGGTGGGGAAAAGACTGGCTGTTTCTATTGTCCTTCTCTGCTCTCTATTCCAAGCAGGCATCTGTATTGTATGGTTATCAATTTCTCCCCCGTTCCCAGAATTAGACGTGCATTCAACAACTGAAGAAATGGTCCTACAATGCAATGAAGGATCAGTTGTTATGTTTTATTGTGTCCTGAGCTATATGGCCCTCCTTTCATTTGCCAGCTTTATTGTGGCTTTCCAGGCTCGTAAACTGCCCGACAGCTTTAACGAAGCCAAGTTCATCACCTTCAGCATGTTGGCTTTCTGCAGTGTGTGGGTCTCCTTTGTGCCAACCTACCTGAGCACCAGGGGAAAAGCCATGGTGGCTGTGGAGATCTTCTCCATCTTGTGCTCTACTGCTGTGCTCCTAGGATGCATCTTTTTCCCCAAGTGTTACATTATTGTGTTGAGGCCTGATTTAAACAACAAGGAACAATTGATAAAGAAACATTCTTAAATGTATTTTTCTCTGTATGCTTTTTTAAATTGGTAGGAGTAAGCCAGAACAAGATTAAAAATTAATTTTTAAGTTATTCATATCAAGGGTTACTTACCATTCTGATTGTGCCTATGAAATCTGGATGTTCGGGAAAACCTTAAATCAAGTTTAAGCTTTTTCCAAACAATATTCAAGGAATTCACAGATTTAGTGCCTGTGTGTTTGTTGGGTCTAGCGATTTTTATGGAAAACCAGACGCCTATTATATACATATAAATTCAAACCATTCCAGGCATCTCTCTCAGACCTGCAAAAAGACCAGCATCAAACTGTTAGTGAATTCATGTGATTTTATTTTTTAAATGCTGAACAAACTTTATTTGCAAGAGTATTATACAAATGACTGGGTCCTTTATCCAAATATACTTATATATGGGTTTTAATGTTTTTAATGTTTTTAATTTTTAAATGTTTTTATAGTGATTTTTTATAGTGTATGTGAACCGCCCTGGGTTTTCGGAGAGGGGCGGCATAAAAATTGAATGAATGAATGAATGAATGAATGAATGAATGAATGAATGAATAAATAAATAAATAAATAAATAAATAAATAAATAAATAAATAAATAAATAAATAAATAAATAAATAAATATACTTTAGTGTCTCTATGTGTTTCTATTTCACTCTAAAATGCATTCTAAAGTGCCGAGGTGGTGCAGTGGTTGGAGTGCAGTACTGCAGGCTACTTCAGCTGACTGCTAGCTGCAGTTCAGCAGTTCAAATCTCACCTGGCTCAAGGCTGAGTCAGCCATCTATCCTTCCAAAGTGGGTAAAATGAGGGCCCAGATTGTTGGGGGGCAATAGGCTGACTCTGTAAACCGCTTAGAGGGGGCTGTAAAGCACTATGAAGCGGTATGTAAGTCTAAGTGCTATTGATATTGCTAAAATAGTTATTATTGTAAGAATCTCACCATCACCACCCTTCATAATTCCCCCACCCCCAAAAACGATTTGTTTCTTTTCTAGATGTATATGACCATCCATTGACAACGAGGACTTTATTTTTTTTAACAAACAAACAAACATACAAACAGTAACCACCATGCAGAAACTTATAATGACACCTGAAGGAACCAGCAAGCAAATCCTCCTAGACAGTCTAGAAATACAGAAATACAGAATTTCAACAAACCCACTGAATCCTACTTTGAACGAAACTTATAGAACCAACTGCTTTTTAGATCTTTGAAAGAAAATTGCCTTGCTATAGATTTATTCTATTCTGTAGTTCTTTTCTTCCCAACATCAGGTGCACAACTTGAGGGTTCTCTTCAAATCCTGACTCCTGCTCAGCAGTTGTGCTAAGACACCTTTTGAACAACTTCATATGATGCACCTATTGCAACTTTTTTCTGGATCTTGAAGCCCTATACATAGTCACTCATTACCTGGTATTAATACCAAAGTTACATATCAATCAAACTGTGTAGTACTTATGGAATAATAGAATATCTACTTCAAATTTAACCAAAGCACAAATTGAGCATAATTCTTCCAATAAAGAATGGGGTATGGGGATGTGTGTCAGCCCTGGAAGCCATCTTTTTCTTTGGAGCTTCAGGGCTGCCACCTTTAGTGCCTGGGAAAATGGGAGGGGGGATTACAAGGAGCCAGTGGAGGATTAGCCGTAACCACATTCCTTTCTCTGGGAATCAAGGACACTCAGCCTGCACCTGGATGGGAATGACTGGGGGTTGTCTCCAATTGGGACGATGAAATGATTGGGCTGTGTGATGGACTTGTGGGTGAAGGGGATGGATCTTTCACTTTCTTTTGGGTGGGGAAAACCCAGAACTCTCAGATTTGGGTTTTCCCAGATGTGCCAATATGACATCTCAAATAAAATGGAACTTTGAGGAACTGCTAGTCTCGGAGTCTTCGTTTGTTGAGGTTGTTACTTGGAACACTGACAATGTGAAACAGTGAAGATAGCAGTTCTGACTCAGCAAATAAACTGCTGCCGCTTTCTTACATGCATCATAAATGTAAAAGGAGAAAGCTTCAATTATATGTGTCGTAGCTTCCCTGGAAGCCAGTTTGGGCAATGAGGAAGAACTGATTCTGGGAACTTCAGAGGAGTTGAGGTTTCTGAGGTGGGAGTGAATGGGCCACATGAAGTAGAGTGGCCAGGAACCTCGGAGAGGCCATCAGGGGATCTACTAAACCAGCACCTGGCTGGAAAGGAAAGGGAAGAGATGCAGATGTCAGCACTTCAAGCTGCATTTACTCTAGTGCTGACATAAGAAGGAGAGGCGGAGGCGTCTCGAAAGGGACGTTTGACTTTTCACCTACTTATTTTCCTGGAGATAATATCCCCTAGGCGATGGGATGAGAGGGGGAAATTCCTTTGAGCTGGAGCAGTACATTGGGGTAGAATGACTTGGAAGATGGCCAATGAGTGCAGGGGAGTGGGGAATGGAAAGGGAGGGTTTGGGGTCTGGAAGTCAGTGTTGTCTTCGATGGAGTCGGGTTTAAAATGTTGTGTTTAATAAATAGGAGATTTTCTTCAAAGATTTTGTTTGAAATGTAATTTATTTGAGACGGCCTCGAAACCTGACAGCAGTTGCAGCTGGAGAGCTCAGAGACCCAGTCAGAAACATGGGTGAACAAGGATTGCATGTGTAGCTAGTCAGCAGGGAAGAGAATGAACTGCCTGAAAGAAGTGCAAGGGAGGTCAGTGAGGCGATTTGTGAGGAGGCAGCCTCGCACCTCCTAATGAGTTACATCAGCACACACCTCCTTAGCTTGATACACAGAGAAATGAAACATTGGAGACAACTGCCCATTTTCCCTGTCATGCATATACTTTGACTTCGTGACTCATATTTTATTGACTCCAGACCTGTGCTTTGTTTGACCGTGTATTTGTACCTCAGACTGCTTTTTGGATGTTGGCCTGGAACCTAAGCTTGACTACTGTGTGTGCACTTTGGACTGTGCCTGTACTTTATACTTCATCTGTGTGAACTTGCAGACTTGTGTCTTTGCCATTGGACTTTGCATCACTGTGTGTAGATGGAGCAGAATTGGACTCAATAGAAATTGTGGTTGGTGTGGGTGGGACCTGGAAAAATTCCACAGTGCCTCAGTAAAGTTCTTAAACTCTTCATGGATGCGTTTTTGGGGGATTGGAACAGCACAATATGTTTCTGCCTCTTTTCTTCAATATTTCATTGGAAATGCCAAAAATGTAGGATTTCACTATTAAACCGTCATTATGTATATCACACACAAACACAAAGAACAGAAAGAAGATAGCATTGATATATATGGTTACAGGTGCCAAGTTGAATATTTGGACGTTTCAAATGGATGCATTGGATCGCTAGGTAAAGGCTCAATAATAGATTGTTAGATTTAACAATTAATCTGCCCTCCTGGTTAGATGCTGTTTTGTGTTCAGATGTGGGTTCAAGAGAATGATGTAGCACTTGGGCAGGAAGATGCAACCCAGGAGACCTGCAGTAGAGCCCAAGATGGAGAAGATCTCCACAGCCACCATGTATTTCCCCTTGGTGCTCAGATAGGCTGGGATGAAGGACACCCAGATGCTACAGAACACAAGCATGCTGAAGGTGATCAGCTTGGCTTCATTAAAAGTATCAGGCAGTTTTCTGGCAAAGAAAGCCACAGTGAAACTGATGGTGGCCAGGAGCCCCAAGTAGCCCAGGACAGTGTAAAACATGGCATCTGAGCCTTCATTACATTGAACAATGATCTCTTGAACCTGTGAATGCATGTCCCACTCAGGGAAGGGAGGAGACACGATCAACCATATCATGCAGATAATAGCTTGAATACATGAGCAGAAGACAATGATAGATCCTGCCAGTCTGTTTCCTAGCCATTTCCTCATCTGGTTTCCCGGCTTAGTGGCCAGGAAGGCCACAACAACCGTGATGGTTTTGGCCAGAATACAAGAAACCGAGAGGGAGAAAATGGTGCCAAACATAGTTTGCCTGAGAAAGCAAGTCACCTTCCCAGGCCTACCTATGAAGAGCAGAGAGCACAGAAAACACAGCAGGAGAGAGGAAAGAAGGATGCATGTGATGTTCCTGTTGTTGGCTTTGACAATGGGGGTGTCCCAGTGCAGAATGAAAGTCACGGCCACCAAAATGAGGGTTGATGAAGAGAAAAGGATCAAGGACGTCAGAACGATTCCCAAGGATTCACCATAGGATAAATAGCTGAAACATTTGGGAAGGCACTGGATCTTTTCTTCATTCGAATACTGATCCACTGGGCATCTCTCACATTGGTTTGCATCTGAAATACATGAAGAAGGGCTAGTCACTTCCAACTATATAGGACAATATAGAAAGCTAACTGTGATAAATCATTCCTGGTGATGCCATTCACAATCCTCTTGACATATACCCAATAATGCTTTCTTAATAACTGTTAAGAAAGTTCTGGACTGTTATTTATCTATATATATATTCCTTTGAACTGCAGTATTAGTGGTGGAGTACTCTGAAGAGAACTGCAACTCTCAACCTAGCAAAGGAAATCAGAATAGGAGAGATTTATGCAAGTATTTAAATTAGACCCACCTTTGAATATATATATATATACTGCAGTTTACCCCAATTCCATTCCACGAAATAGCATACCAAAGATGGAAAGAATGAAGAAAACATGAGTTTTGGAGCTCTCAACTCTTAGCTGTCTCTTGCTTTGCTTACCAAGTTCAACTGAAATTCTTCCTTCAGGACATTGTGCACAATTGTAGCAACAAATATGTTTCCCCTCTTGAACAACTTTTCTGTACCCCTGACAGCAGCTCTCTACACATCTGGCACGGGGAGGTACCTGAAAGAAAAAATCAAAAGTTTAGGAATGGGATTCATCAAGATGTTGTGCAAGTTTTCCATTTCATTAGGAGAACTTGGTACTTTCAGGGAGATGCATAATCTTCTGATGTCAACATGTCCCAAGATGCTTTTGGAGAGTGTCCATATTTACATCAAATCATTCTATTCTTAGGATGAGTTCTGAATTTTCTGCAAACAAGTCCATTCTCATTTGTTCTCGTAGAACAAGAAAAAGACATAATTGAGAACATGGGAGTCTCTGGTGAAGGATATCCAAAATGTTTCAATCCTACTACAGATCAGATCAGATCAGAGAGGTTTGCAACCTGCAATCTAGGATGAAATGAAGGATTTCATTATTTATTTATTTATTTATTTATTTATTTATTTATTTATTTATTTATTCATTCATTCATTCATTCATTCATTCATTCATTCAATTTGTATGCTGACCCTCTCTGAAGACTCAGGGCGGCTCACAATGCATTTAAAATCATTATAAAAAACATTTAAGAATTAAAACCATTAAAAACATTACAACTCATTCACACCATTCATGGCCCAGATCTCACCAGATCGCAAGAGCGAGATCAACGGCCCCAGGCCTTCGAGAAAAGCCAGGTCTTCACCGCTTTTCAGAGGGCCAATAGGGTGGGGATTGTCTGGACCTCAGGAGGTAACTGGTTCCAGAGAGCTGGGACAGCCACAGAGAAGGGCCTCCCCCACGGGCGCGCCAACCAGCATTGTTTAGCTGATGGGACCCGGAGGAGACCAACTCTGTGGGATCTTACTGGTTGTTCGGAGTTATGTGGTAGAAGGCAGTCTCGAAGATATCCTGGCCCTGAGCCATGTAGGGCTTTAAAGGTAATAACCAACACCTTGAATTGTGACCGGAGACCAATAGGGAGCCAGTACAGCTCGCGGAGAATTGGTGTAATGTGGGTGTACCTAAGTGCACCCACAACAGTTCGCGAAGCTGCGTTCTGGACCAACTGTAGTCTCCTAACACTTTTCAAGGGTAGCCCCATGTACAGCGTGTTGCAATAATCTAACCGTGAGATGACAAGGGCATGAGTGACCGTGAGGAGAGCCTCCCGATCCAAGTAGGGTCGCCATTGGTGCACCAGGCGAACCTGAGCAAAGGTCCCCCTAGCCACAGCTGTCAGATATTGCTCTAATCTTAGCTGTGAGTCTAGGAGGACACCCAAATTGTGAACCCATTCTGAGGGGGACAATTTCTCCCCCTCCCCTAGAACCAAGAATGGACAGTCAACATAGTCTTTAGGAGGCAATACCCACAGCCACTCGGTCTTGTCTGGGTTAAGTCTGAACCTGTTGACTCCCATCCAGACCCTCACAGCCTCCAGGCACCGCCCCATTATGTAGGAAATGTCATCCATTTTCATTCTGTAGGACTGGAATACCTTTGGTGTTTCTTTTTATCTGCCAGGACCCAAAATCAAGAAAGACATATGGACTTACTTCTGAGCCATCCTCACCTGTAGACAGAAATCTTAACAAAGTAAAGGACCTGTTTAGCATCACTAAACAATCAAATGTTCCATGTTCAACTGCGACTTTGTCTTCTGGAATGTACCTCTTTTCTGAGAATCCTGACTAAATTCCATCAAGTATCATTTGGGGCCACACCAATGATGAAATGTAAAATTTGTTACTACTGGTTCTGTGGCGTGGTTTGGTGGGGGTTAATGTGACTCATGGGCGTGACCAACTTTTTTTTTTTTACTTTTAAAAGCATTTTTTTCTACAACCTCTTCAGCCAAAGAGGTTGTAAAAAATGCTTTTAAAAGCCTCTGACGATCCCAGCTGAGTTGCCTGATTGTCTCTTTTTACTCCATTCATAACAGCAATATCCAAGATTAAATATTATATTGGGAAAATACAAAACATATGATGTTCATTACAAAAAATGCATATCTATTGTCTTTTAAGAAATCAGTAGCCTGTCGAGCAAACTAAATCAAACACAAGGACACATACATAAATATTCTTATGTCATGTTAATTTCAAAATGCAACTCAGTTCCACAATTGAGTTGGAAGGGACCTTGGAGGTCTTCTACTCTAATCCCTTGCTCAAGCAGGAAACTCTATCCCATTTTAGAGAAATGGTTAGGCATCTCTCCTTAAAACCTCCAGTATTGGAGCACCTACAACTTCTGGAGGCAAGTTATTTCAAAAATTAATTGTTCTAATTGTCAGGAAATTTCCTCTTTGTCTAGGCTGCCTCTCTCCTTGCTTAGTTTCCATCCATTGCTTCTTGTTCTGCCTTCAGATGCTTTGGAGAACAGATTGACCCTCTCTTCTTTGTCATGGCTCCGTAGATATTGGAACACTGCTACCATATCACCCTTCACCCTTCTTTTTACTAAAACATATCCAGTTCTTGCAACCGTTCTTCATATGTTTTAGCCTTCAGTCCCCTAATATTTTTTGTTGCTCTTCTCGGTATGTAGAGGTCTTCATAAAGACCATCCCAAAAAGCTAGCAGAACCACAAGATTCCAGAATACCATCACCATCCTTCGCTTCTGGAATTTCAGATCATTGGAGAAGAATATCTTCACCTCCAAATAATAGTCTACCAAGTTAGAGTATGCCAAATAGCCCACCTGCTGAAACTTGTGATTCCATACAATGGCATTTTCATTAATGGTGAACTTCTTCCCATCAAGAGATTTGGAGACCATCTTTCCAATCCGGACTCTCTGGAAGGATTGATTGTGGAAGGAGACAAAGTTGAAGATGTCGTATCCTGGGTCAAACTCCCCTTTCTCATCAAAAAAGATTTCTTCACCCACACTGTTATTAAAACGGGTGTTTCTCAGAAAGTAGTAAAGCTGGATTTGAGAGAGAGGAGAAGTCAGATCAGTTATCCAAATCTTCCCCAAAGTTTGGCTTTGTTCAGAATCCCAACAGAGTTTCTTTAGTGAATATTATCGGGATTGCTTTCTGGTTTGATTCAGAAATCTCTTCAACCCATGCACCACAGCCAATTTTAAATTACAGTAATATCAGTTCCAACAATTTCCTAATATTTATTGATTCTACTGGAATATATTAACAAATAAAATTAAGATTCATGGAATTCATGGTATTGCTGATTTCCTTCCCATCCCCTTCAGGGCTTCCATATATGTATCTGAGAAAAGCAATGACATACCTCCCATGGCTGAAAATACCTAAGATTTGATCCATCCTGATTTCTCAGAGGAGCTGGCTTTGCTCTTTTTGAATGCATTGCTTGCATGATATGTGCTGCAAGATAAACCCCATTGTAGGTATTGTAGCTCTCTCCAGACATGGTCATTTCAAACACAGAGCTAGAGACTTTCTTGAGTTTTTCCCTCCCAGTGCAGCGTTTAACTCCTTTCTCATATGGAGGTAGTGAACAACGAAACACAGATTCCCAGAACCAACTAAGATGACGAAAGGGATGCAGAAAAGGTTTTATTCTCTCAAGAAACTCCTGAAATCCTGGCACAGTCCTTGTATGGAGTGAGAAGTATAGGGAGCCGTTGAAAGTCTGAACTAGGAGGCTCCCTTTTGATGATAAACTCACAGTGAAATCCCACTGGTAGGTCATGATCCATACTCTGTGATCTATTGGGTTCTTTTGGTAAACTTCACGAGAATAAAGCGCCCATTGTAAAATCTCCATAGATTGGACAGCCCCAGAAGCAAGGAATACAGTGACATTCTTCTGTAAGATAATGTCTAATATTTTGTCTCTGCGTTCTTGAAAGACATCTTTATTTAAGAGTGCATCTCTTAAAATGGGGATCAATGCTATCCAAGCAATGCAAATATCACTCTGGAAGAGCCTTGGTTGGAGATGTTGAAAAAATACTTTCCCCCTCTCATCCTCTGAGACCAAGAGGCCAATCCAGTTCCATCCAAAATGTTTTAGTAAATGAACAATCCCTTCGTATTGCAAATTTTCATTGGGAACCATGCTAAAGAAGGAAGGGAACTGCCTTTTGTCACTCAGGACTGGGTCAAAGGAACCATAATTGAGCTGTTGGGAAAAAGGATGCATAGAAAATTAAATTGAGAGTGGTTTTGTGACCCATGAAGAGCACAGAGCTTTTCCATTCTCCATAGAATCATGGATTTTACTGTGACATTATGACTTTATTGTAACAACCCAAAAGTTGCCATCAAGTGTTACATGTAAGGAGATCATAAGCTTCATGATAGTAGATTCTGGGAAATGATAGCCTGGTTAAAATTGAAAGAAGCTAGTGAAGGAAGACCGCCCTCCCCAGATAGAAGAAGAAACCGTGAGGCAGCAAATAATCCAAACACAATTCAAATAATTAAATCATAACCATTTACACAAGAAAAGAAAAGCCCTGTCTAGCTCATTGTCAGAGCTCACACCCCAGGCAAGCTCAAGTATAAACACTTGAGATAAGCATAGCTACAAAAAATTCAATTAGCATTAGTATGTAGCAAAAGAGCAAACACAGTAGCTATTGCTTGTTAGACTAATTACCAGAAGAAATAGACACAGGAATTAGATTTCTCAACCCTGCTTCCTTTCAGAAACAGAGATTAACCTCCTTCCTTCCAAACAAATAGGGAAAATTGTCCCATTAATAAACACATGATTAAACATCACCAAGCACAACTTAAATGGAACCAAAAACCAATTTTTGACCCAAACTCTAGCTAGCCAAGAAGCCTTGCTGCATGTCACTCATCTTAGTTCCTTGTCATTAAAAGCTTCTTTCCTGCAGCTCTGCTTCATTATTCAATTATTTCTTCAAAGTGCATCCTGGCGGGAAGAATCCTAATGGGGAGCATTTTCCTCTCAACACTAGGGTTTATTTTAAAAAATGAGTTTTTCTTTTAACAAGATGAGCTATGAAAAATGGTCACACCTGTGGAAACTTGTAGATGTTCAACATGTGAGCCATCTGGATGGAATTGAGGGAGGTGAGGTCACCAAGGATAGGCAAGAAGTTCAGATTCCTTCTTCTGACACAGTTGAAGTTGATAGGACTCCCTCGATTGAGAAACAGAATATATAAAACATGCTTACTGGCCCTCCAGGCATTGAAATTGTTTTCATATATTTCCACTGTTATTGTGATGTTGGGGAACAGCTTGGCATTCTTGTTGACCTCATCAACAGCAAAATACATAGAAAGAGGATGCTGGGCATATTTTGGTATCATGCTGAAATGAAAATGCAGAAGTAGACGTTATGTAAATAGGTTTTCTTGGCGGAAAGTTTAAACTAACTGACCATCAGCTGATTGGCTGACCACCACAGCTGCAAGGTATATAAAGGGAGCTGTTTCCCTAGGTCAGTTGCTGGGTTATCACCCTACAATAAAGAGCTGTTGGCACTCACTGCCTGGCTTGCTGCATCCTCATTCACCCATCTTTACATTGGCGACAAAGGTGGGATTTGGGGCCAGAAGCCAAGGAAAGAGCTGAAGCCACAGCTGAGAAAGAGCTGAGGCCACGGAAAGAGCTGAAGCCATGAGCCGAGAGAGAAGCGGAACGCCCGAATCCAGAATCCAGCCAGGCGAGCGAGCGGAGCACCGGAGAATCACAAAATGATGTCTGCCTACACACTTCCAGCGCCTTTCAACCCTAAGGAAGAAAAGTGGGGATCCTACATGTCCCAGTTCGAGTGCTTCATGGTGGCCAACGACCTGCAAGGACTACGGGACGTTCGGAAGAACGCCCTGTTCCTGAGCCACTGCGGACCACGGGTGTTCGATACGGCTGAAGCTTTATCGGAGCCGAATTTGGTCCACACCATATCATGGTCAATGCTGCAGACCCTGCTGAAAGACCACTATGCCCCAATGCCTTCGAAGTACGTCCAGCGGTATGAGTTCCAGCAAAGGCTGCAGCAGGATGGGGAGTCGATCAGCGAGTACGTTGCTGCCCTTGGTAAGGCCGCAAACCAGTGCGAGTACCGAGACTTGGATGAAATCCTCCTAGAGTAACTAATTTGTGGAGTGAGGGATGGCCGGCTACAAAGGAGACTACTCGCGAGATTGAACCTGATCCTGCATATCGCACTAGATGAAGCAAGAGCCCAAGAGTCGTCCGTAAGGGCCGCTGAGAGACTGCAAGGGACCATCCATGGCCAGACAGCGTAGAGGTCGGCGACCGTGCACCGTGAAGCCGTAAGCACCAAGAGCGAAGGGGAGTCTGAGGAGGAGATCTACCACACAGAGCAGTCCAGGCCGGACCGACGGGAACCTAGGGACAACTGCACCAGCTGCGGAGGACCCCATTCCTGACACAACTGTAAGTTCCGGGATGCGATCTGCCGTTTCTGTGAGAAAAAGGGCCATATCGCTCGAGTCTGCTGGGCCAAGCAGGCACAAGGCTACAAATCATGAGGCCAAGCCAGCCAATCTGAGACAGCGCCATGCTCGAGGCCCAATAAAGATGGCGGAAGCTGGAAGGGCACAAAACTTGAAGACGTCGAGGCTACACTATCCGCATCGGCCAGACCTGCACCTCTCCTGGGGAAAAGACCTACACCACGGTCGAGATCGAGGGACGTGAGTGCCAGATGTAGACCGACACGGGATCCCCCATATCCATCATGTTGTGGGACAACCTAAAGAAAGCCATCCCCAGTGCACACAAGCAGCACCTCCAGCCACAGGAGCACCGGCTAAAGGACTATCAAGGAAACCACATCCCCATAGAAGGAATAGGTGAGTTCCAAGTGCAATACGGGGAATTCAGTGAGAAACTGCCCCTCACCATTGTCAGCGGCAAGCTCCCGAGCCTCCTGGGCATGGACTGGTTTCAAGCCCTGGGCATGGGATTCACCGGAGTAAGGAACATCCAGAGCACCCTGAAAGACGACCTGATGCAGGAGTTCCAGGATGTGTTTGATGAACGGCTCGGCAAGTATGTGGGGACCCCTATCTTGTTCAACCTCAACCCCAACATTGCCCCAATCCGATTGAAGGCTAGGAGGGCTCCATTCACCCTGAAACCCAAAATAGATGTCGAGCTGGACAAATTGATTAAGCAAGGGGTGCTTGTGCCAGTCGACCACGCCAAATGGGAAACCCCAATTGTGACACCCGTGAAACCGGACGGGTCAGTGCGCATATGCGCTGATTATAAGTGTGCAATTAATAAGGCCCTTCAACAGAGCGCTTATCCGGTTCCAATTGTACAGCATTTGCTGCATTCCCTAGGCCCCGGCAAGATATTCGCTAAACTTGATCTTGTGCAGGCGTATCAGCAGCTGCCGGTAGATGGTGCTACCGCAGAAGCACAGACTATCGTAACTCACAGAGGGGCCTTCAAATGCATCTGCCTGCAGTTTGGAGTTAGCATAGCCCCCGGACTTTTTCAAAGCACCATGGAGCGGCTGCTGCAAGGGATCCCTGGGGTGGTCCCCTATTTTGATGATGTACTCATCACCACTGAAGATGAACAGCAACTAGGGGGAAGGCTGAGAAAGGTCCTCGGAAAATTCAGGACTGCTGGACTCAGGGTCAAACGCAACAAATGCATGATCACGGTCCCATCAGTAGATTTCCTAGGGTACCGAGTAGATGGCACCGGCATACACCCCACCAAGAGTAAAATCAGGGCGATCCAGGAGGACCCCACCCCTAAAGACAAGGCGGAACTACAGGTGTTCCTGGGAATGTTAAATTTCTACGCGATTTTCTTAAAGGACAAGGCAACAGTGGCTGAACCCCTGCACAGACTGTTAGCCAAGAAGTCCACCTGGAAATGGGGGAAGGACAAGGACAATGCATTTGTGAACATTAAGAAATTGCTGTCAGCTGAGAGTTTCTTGATACAATACAACTCTACGCTTCCCCTTGTTTTAGCTTGTGATGCGTCCCCTTTTGGTGTGGGAGCCGTCCTGAGCCATAGACTCCCGAATGGCCTAGAGGCACCCATTGCCTACTACTCCTGAACTATGTCAAGCGCCGAGAGAAATTACAGCCAGCTTGACAAGGAGGACCACGCCGCCATCTCGGGAGTAAAAAAGTTCCATGAGTAACTATTCGGGAGGGACTTCCACCTGATCACCGACCATCACCTGCTCCTGGGTCTCATCGCAGGAGACCGACCGACACTGGCAGCCCTATCGCTCAGGATGACACACTGGGCCATCTTCCTCGCAGCATACTTGCCTGGTACATCGACCAGGGGTGGACATGGGCAATGCCGACGCACTCAGCCGATGCCCATTACCAGACAAGCTTGAAGACCCTACACTCGGCATCCCCATTCTGCTGATAGACGAATTGGACTCAGGGCCCATTACATCACCGGAGGTAGTGAGAGCCTCAACCAAGGACCACGTGATCTGGACGGTCGCAAGTTGGGTGACAGGGGGTGGCTGGAGAAGACTGGGGGTGAGGAATTTAAACAGTACGCGAGCAAACGGGATGAACTAACTATGCAAGGGGGGTGTCTATTATGGGGCGATCGGGTTATTGTTCCCTTGTGCCTAAGGGAAAAAGTCTTAACAGTTTTGCATGAGGGGCACCCTGGGATTGTTTGGATGAAGGGACTAGCCAGGAGCTACGTCTGGTGGCCCAACATGGATGTAGACATTACCGAGTGGGTGGGGAGATGCCAGCCCTGCCAAGAGTCTAGACCAGATCCACCGACAGCACCAGTGAGGGAGTGGGAAAGGGGCCCTGGTCCAGGATCCACATAGATTTCGTTGGGCCATTTCACGGACAGATCTTTATGGTCATAGTGGACGCATTTTCAAAGTGGCTAGAGATTAAGGGCCACTACCACCTATGCAGTCATCAGGGAACTGAGACAGTTGTTCGCCACCCATGGGTTACCAGACATCCTAGTGTCAGACAATGGGCCCCAATTCATGGCCACACAATTAGAGGGGTACCTAGAGGACCTGGGGGTCAAACACGTCCTCTCGGCCCCGTTCCATCCGGCTAGTAATGGTCAGGCTGAGAGATTTGTAAGAATGGCCAAAGAGGGCCTCTCACGGCTAGGCCCCGGGGACTGGCAGGAAAGAATAGATTGATTTCTAACAGCCCAGCACTCCACACCTTGTACCACCACAGGCCGAAGCCTGGTTCCATTGGCGGAGCAGGGAGAGAGAGGGAGTCCCTCCGACCTGCTCGACGTCTCCCCTCCAACTGAACTGTGCAGGTCAACCAGGACACGTACACGCCCTAGTCACCTAGGAGACTTTGTATGCAAATAGTAACCCAAAGTGATTTCTGGGAGGGGAGGAGTGTTATGTAAATAGGTTTTCTTGGCGGAAAGTTTAAACTAACTGACCATCAGCTGATTGGTTGACCACCACAGCTGCAAGGTATATAAAGGGAGCTGTTTCCCTAGGTCGGTTCCTGTGTTCTCACCCTACAATAAAGAGCTGTTGTCACTCACTGCCTGGCTTGCTGCATCCTCATTCACCCAACTTAACAGTAGAGAAAATCATATCACCAAAAAAAAAATAAATGTCTAAATCTAGTTCTAAACTTCATAGATAATTTCAGCAATTTATTCCGTAGAGATTAATTTTGAATTTCAATGAAAGAAACTTTTGGCTTTGCACATTATTCTGACCATCTCCACAATCACTGATTAGCAAGACCTGTTCTAGAACTCTAGGCAAGGATTTTGGAGAGATTGATTGGAAGACCTTTTTCTTAACAGAGAAAGTGATGTTTCTCTTTTGAACAGATCATAGAATAAAGTCTAGGGTAGCTGCCCCTCTTGCTGACTCCTCTACTTTTTGAGTGACAAAGTTGTCAGTTGAGTTGGTAGGGGCCCTGTTCGATTTCCCCCTTGTTTCTGAGTTTGTCTCCCAGTTAATGTCTGGGTAAATAAAAAAACCCATTACTACTGTGGTGTATTTTGAGATACATTTGTTAACTGTTTAGCAAAACATTCATCTATTTCTTATGCTTGGTTGGGTGGCCTATAGTATATTCCTGTGTCAATGTCATTGTTTTATGTTGACCCATAAGCATTGTAGCAGATTTTCATCCTTGGTTTTGTGCCCCTCTTGGTTTTGTGCATCTCTCTTGTTGTGCAATGTCATCTTCTGACAGAGGCTGTATTTTCTTTGAAAGTCTGGGAACACGAGCAAATCAACCTTATGATTGAGTGGATATATGTTAATCTTGTGCAGTAAATTATATGATCAGGTCCATAAACCAAACTTTTAGTTCATAGTTTGCTG